CAGACTGACTGGCAATGTGGTTAACCCTTTCCTCACTCACCTTCAATTTGTGTTAAGCGCTATTGTAGAAAGTCAGTAGCATAAGAATTTAATACCGTCTGTACTTTCCGTTATTGCTCATCCGTGGAAATGGGCACTTTCTAGGTAGTCTTGTTAAGGTAAAGTCTTGTAAAAGTAATGTTTTCAGTACCCACTCTGAACAGCCAATTTCATTCTGTTCTCCACCCCTAAGGCAACAAGAAACACAGGGAAGACCATCGCAGGACAGAATGTAGCCAATCCGACGGCCATGCTCCTAGCCGGCTGTCTGTTACTCAGACATTTAGGCTTGAATCAACACGCTGATCTCATCAATGCTGCGGTCATGAAAACAGTCACTGAGAACATGGTGAACTCTTTCACTCATTTCTTGTTACCAGACCTCAGAAAAAACAGTAATGTCTTACATTTTTAATTCCAGCTATTGCCATTTAGATACGGACAATGCTGAAAATCCAACCAAAATTGATTTCTTTTCTCTCAGTTTGATTTTGTATAATGATTGAAGAGCTGATGTCATGCAAGGACTTTTAAATGTTGTATGGTGAAGACTAGAAAAAGTAACCTGGTAATACTTTTTTGTTTTGTGCAAGGCAGTGCATAGGATGGATTATTATTACCTTACAGGATTTGTCTTTGCTAGAAATACTAATATGAGGGTGGTGACACTGTGACATGTGTTTTTGGTCTCCTCATAAAAATGTTTTGATAATCTTAAGTGTTTGAGCGCTGTCTCTGTGTTCTAGTCAATTTGTCTGTTTAATCCAATATTGCATTTACATCACAACAGGTGCACACAGCTGATCTAGGAGGCGTTGCAACTACATCAGATGTTGTGGAAGGAGTCATCAAGGAAATACAAGCCATGAAACAATAAACTTGCACATCTCAACAACTACAGACTCTCTTTCTGTATGATTTATCTTGTTATAGATTGGCCCTATTTGTGAAGATAGAAAAATGTATTTATTCCCAAATTTTAAAATGTGAGGCAGTAAATACATGTACCAGAGGCATTCTTAGATTTAGGTAGCTGTATGTCATGGGTCAAGAACCAAATTTCTCATCAGACTTTTGAGGTTATCCCGAAAAAGTGTCTTCACAAAAGCTTAGCCTACCAGCAACATTTTCTCCTAAACTTTTAATTTATTCCTGAAATTTGAAGTTCCAGCCCATTTCATTGCCTCTTTTCTTTGCTCTGAGGTGATGTTTAGAAGGCTTTATAATATTTGTTGAGGCTTGACTTCGTGTTGCGTTACCTCTGAATTAAGCGCAATAAAAGTTCTTGATGTTCATGTATTTAACATGTTGTGAAGGTTAGGACCCTTTTTTCATTATTGTATTTGTCCATTGAGCACTTTTTGGAAGATTTTTAAAGTAAAGTTGCAATCAATATTGGATTAAAAAGACTTTACATATACAAATTTAACATTTTGTATAGATGCTGAGGTCACTTGTGTGTTATTAACATAAAATATTTAATTAATTATTTAGTGTAAAATGTATGATGCTGAGGTATTGCCTGCTTGAAGGTGATTTGCTGTGTATAAAAATTATGTATGACTTTGACTTGAATTAACAGTTATTACTGTTTATAAATGGAGATTAATTGCAACTCAATAATTGCAGTGCATGTTTCTCCCTTTTAGTGAATATTTATGACAGATGAGCAATTTCAAAAGTTTTTAAGTATTATTTTGTCTAACACTATTGGTTATTATACCAAGAGTACGCCACTCCAATATTTGAAGGAGATTTTTGTTGAATTTCTTGAAACAGAATGATTTGGGTTTTCACTCACTTAAAACCTGTCAGAAAGGTTTGAGAGTCACTTGTCACAATCCAATCAGATTGGTGCAATACATCAACAAACTACAGTTTTGTTCAGTGTGATGGATGTATATAGTCTTCTGTTTGGCTTCATTTGATGTGTCAGTTTGCTTAGCTCATGGCTTAACTATTTGTAACACCGAAGAATAAGAAGGCGTGTAATTAACAACTCAAAAGTTTCTTACTAAAATGTTATTTGATAAATACTGCAAACATTTTAAGCAAGATTTTCTTAGATTTTGAGTAAACGACATGGATTTCAAATTTCAGCTTGAAGCTTGTGAATAATTTGAGTTGTAGGAAGCGCAAGCGGGCCGTTTTGAGTGACGAATGAAGGGACCCTTATACAATCACAGGTTACATGTGGTGAATGGAGCGACTGCGCATGTACTTAAAATAATCATATTAACTAACCGCCTGGGGTGTATGTAAAATCATATTAAAATCGGAGGATTGAGGACGGTTAAGACCTTCTGACGGCGCTAGATGTAACTGGAAAATTCCCACTCGAGGCACCGCTGATTAGATACACGTTCTTTGACAGATTTTTCCCATTGGCATTGGTCGCGTCGTCTGCTTCAGCTGTCGCTTTTGCCTGATTCGTAACTCCCTGGTTTTGGAATTTTAGTTCAATAATGAGCCACATACTGTCAACAAACGTACATCTACCACGTGCAATCGATGCAAATACCGTGAAGTAGTTCTTTTCAATTCGAACACTGATGATTTCAAAGACAGGTTCATTCATGATTCAGTGGATTGCCGGGAATTCTAAAAACCCTAGAAGCTTTTCAACTTAGTCAAGAGAGGGCGGCTTTGCGTTAGCACCATAGTACATAAACATAAATCGGCGCCGCGGCGAACTGATCAGCTGATCGGCAGACGGTTGTCGATGTTGTTTGTGAGTATTTTTGTATTTTTTTTACAATTACAATACAGTTACAATAGATTACGAGAGGTGGGGACCTGTACCTCTGTATACATAGCTTTGTAGCCTGTACATACGTGACAAACCCTTTGGCAATCATGACAGTTACTGACTCCCTGAGTACTACGGTAAATTAATTATGCTTCAATATTTTCCCAGCTAAATTTATCCACAGAGCAACTTAAGGGCACAGATGATTTATCGCTCTCTAGCTCTGATGGCTCCGGGGGAAAATTAGTGATGTCCGTATTTTGAACTCTGTCCGTTGAAATAACATGAATCTGAGATTGAAAAACTTTCAGATATTCGTACATACGTACGTGTAATACACTCGTACTATGCATGGTCAAGTGGTAAAATTGTACACAACCAACAATCACCCCCAGAACTGTAGGGGTCCGACGTCCGCCCTGTTCCCTCGAAGCGGGTCGGACAGCCCCTACAATTCGGGGGTAACCAACAACTTGGAGTCAGCATTCTGCAGTCTTTCCATTTTTTAATTGTAGGAATAGGTGCCTGACAGTAGGCCCCCTAATGTGAAACACGTAAGTAAGACTCTGGGAATTGTAAATTTGGGGACCCTGCTCCTACATTTTAATTTTTTGATACATCTTGGTAGATGACTATGACATCATGCTTAATAACTGTAGGGTTAATGTTGTCAAAAAAGGGCAGGGTTTTTAGTTTGGAGGGAAATTATGATGAGGTGAAGCTGTGAGTGTTTTAACAAACGACACATAGTGGATTCAAATTTGCATAGTTGGTTTATCAGTAAGAAAGTCACATTTTCTCACACTTAACAATTTGAAATTTCAAAAAAATAGGGCCAGCGCAATAAAGAGAGCATTGCCTTTGTATTTTGGTGGGGACTGACCAGTTTACAAGATTAAAATGACAAAAAACTGGTGAGTCTCCAAGTATACAATCCCTGTAACTTCGGCCTACCCCCAGGAGCACTGACGGCAGAAGTAGTGGGCATCCCCCCCCCATTTTTACAGGTCCTGTAATGGGATGGGTCTTAATGAATCCGCACTTTAATGGCTGATGCCTGATAGTCTCTTGACTGGTCCCTCCACTTTGGAAATCGTTCCACCACCATTGCCCAGAACTGTGAGGTAACTTCAGCCCTAACATGCCCGATGTTCATGACAATTTCCTGTCATGAGCATTACTCGGGTGAGAGTAACTCAAGCCAGCTCCAGCTTGACGTGTGGCCAAACTGCATTTATGGATTTTTTGCGTGTCATTTGTGTCATGTTTGTACGTGGGGTTGGGAGAAAGGGAAGATCTAAGATGAACCATTGTTTTCGGCATGGCCCCACCATTGAGATTCCACTGGGATGGATGATGTGCTACAGAGGGAGTTTATTCATGTTATAGTAGCCTATCTTATAAAACACGAAAGAACAACTTGTTTTCTCTTTTCATAGAGCAGTTCCATCCAAGCTGATGATGATGACGACTTTCCGATTGATGTTTCCATTGACTATCCTCCTCATTTTCTCTGTGATTGTGACTGAGCATCCTGTCCTAGCAAAGACCAAGAACAACATAAGATATGAGGAGCCTAAGTCCAAGATGCAGCCTCACATTATCATCATTCTAGCGGATGACTTGGTACGTACAGACCTTAGCCTTTTCTTGATTCCCAAATGAGGAAGCTGACCCAGGAGAAATGTGTAGCTAATACTGTGGGTTGGTTTTGTCACTGAGACCATCACAAGACCAGACATTAGACCAAATGACCAGATCAAAGATCAGTCACCTGTACGAAGCCAGGCACAAAAAAATTGGTAAATGTTGATAGATCAATGCTTTTGGTGAAGTTCATTTAATTTCATTGTAGCTTATGACTTGAATTCAGACTTGGGGTGTGGTGTTAATCTGTTGATAGTCTTGTGGAATCTTGTGATGGTCTTAAGAGGTCATGAATGTAGTGCTGATAGTTGTTAGAGTTATCCTGTTTTGAGGATACCCGTAGTCTTCTCAGCAAAGAAATATGCTGCATTGCAGGACACTTACATGTAATGCCACTCGATGCAGATGGCTCTAGCAGGGTCTATGATTGGCACAGACAGATGGGTGCTGGTAAATTTGATTTGTAAATTCTGTTGACAAATTTTGGCAAGCATCTCACTTTAATAATCTCACTTTCATTCATGAAACTAATTGACACGTAGCTAGATGTTTCACCCATTGTCTGTAGCATTTTATCATGAAATTAAGAGTACATTTGTAGATTTTGCTGTTTGTTTCTGTTTATCAGGGCTGGAATGATGTTAGTTTCCACGGCTCCTATCAGATTCCAACTCCACACCTGGATGAGTTGGCCTATAGTGGTGTGTTGCTGTCCAATTACTACGTTTTGCCCATCTGCACGCCGACACGGAGCGCATTAATGACCGGCAGATATCCAATCCACACGGGTAAAGAATTGGCAATGACTTTGATCAAAAAATTATTGATAATATGGTGATTTTTTTTCAAGTTATCTCGCAATGACCCAAAGAAACTGGAACATATTGTCACACCATGGGTCTGTCCTACCCAACTAGGACAGCTGTGGAGAGTCAATGAAAAAAAAAAAAAAAGACAAAGTAATAAAACTCAGGAGCTGAATTAATATATTCTGTTTACTTTAAAATCAATCAACCATCATCATAGACATCATTAATTTACCCAAAACATCTCCTGCTGTGTCTTTTAACCTCCAGAGATCTTCCAAATCCACCTGGAGGTTGAAGGATTGTTTTGCATAATTTACAGTGAAATAATGTTCAAAACCTTTGGAAGTTGAAGCACAGAGGATGTGCCTTTGGTTTCTAGTGCAGAACATTTTAGATATAGAAGGACTTTGGAAGGATCTTGGGGGAAAATGCTTAGGAAGGTAAAAGATTTTTCCTGAAGGTAATATCCCTCGTCAACTTTGTCCAGGTATGTGGCATAGTGTCATCATTGCAGCAGAGCCATGGGGTTTAGGTATGGATGAAGTCATTCTACCTCAATTAATGAAGCAACAAGGGTACCACACCCACATGGTCGGAAAGGTACGTAATCCGGTTTCTTTGTCGTGTTTATTTTGGATTTCGGCAAAAACAGATTACATTTTACATCAATTTATTTTTAAATACACTGGTTACGGTGGTTGCGGGGAACAAGTTTTTTCCAAACAGTTTTTATTCTTATATTAGTCATAAACTCATACATGTATATTGCAAAAGTTATCTTGCAGGTTATTGTATACAGCAGTTGATATGTGGTTCATAAATTTAAGGTTTATCCATGGATTTTATGCTGATAATGATCAAGGACGTATCTAAAGTCAAATTTTCAGGGAACGGAACAAACTTGTTTATAGAGGGTCAAAAACTTTGGATTTTGTTTCTCATGTAACATTTTGTGGCCTGTTTGAGGAATGAGGCTGTATTTTAGGGCTTTTTATACACTTTTGAAGAAAGAGAGATGGATTAGACCAAGAAATTCTATCTTTGCTCCCTTTTTGGGGTCATGGCCTCTCTTGGCCACTCTGAATCCATCTTCATAATAGTGAGTATGGCTAATAGCCGTGATGCATTTATTTTTGCATCTTGTGTGACTTACTCGTATATGAAACTGAACTGGTTGATATGCTTCAATTAAGTTGGCACTGGCTTGGATACCTGTTTTCCTCTGGTGTAAAAATCCATATGTCACATACATGTATCTCATCTCTTTGACCACTGCTTTGACAAATATTCCTGAGGGTTGAAGCTTAGAGCTATGGAAATTCTAATTGCTGTTAAGATGATAGGATGTTTGTGGATAGGGCTTACTTGTTTCACTATCTGCCTTGAGCAGAAGCACCCCCTCATTGGTTGAAAAGAGCCATGCTGGTGGGGAGTGTTCATTTTGTTTGTAGCAGCGCACGCGAGACGCATGCATTTCATAGTCCTTTGTGAACCAGTGAATATGCCTTTTGTAAGTTAAATTTGATTAAAGTCTGGTACACTGAGTTCTTTAAATTCCAGTGAACATAACAAGTTGAATTCTCCATACTAAAGACGCTGTTGCTATACCCTGTGATTTGAGCAAGCTTTTGCTTTATAAGAGATGCCTTGTAACAATACACTATTTTCAATGGATAAGAGGGGCACAAAAGGAATCAGTCTATTCTAGCGATGGTGGTCGCTATGCAAAAGCTTGAACCAATCACGAGGTATAGCAACAGTGTCTTTAGTCTGGGGAATTCAAATTGTTATGTTGATGAACAATCAGACAACTCAGTGTGCCAGATTTTATGCAAATTAAACTTGCAAAAGGCTTATTGCAGTTCCCATCAAAGGAGCTTCTATTGTTATAAAAATAACACCCTCTCTTGGTCCTGCTTGGGGCCCATAAAGCCATATATGAGGCCATAGGGCCTCGTTTCACGAAGCTGATAAGAACTCTCTGTGCTGACATTAGCAGCTCTGTTACCTTTTCTTCTGATTCATTTCTAGTGGCATCTTGGTTTTTTTGATGAGGAGCACATCCCATCCCAGCGTGGTTTTGATTCTTACTTCGGTTACTACCTTGGCAAGGGTGACTATTGGACGCATTATGACACAGAGGTAACATGAATTCAGCTCTTCACTAGGGCTTACTGGCTGCTGGCTTGACAGCCATCAAGTTTTGGACTGAGACTTTTGCAGCTCCAATTAGTCAGAAATTTTTATCAAAAAGAAGGGATCTTGGAGTAACTTCTGTCACTTCTCATTTCAGAGAAGTGTATGTGAGGATTGGCCTACAGTTTTCTCTTGCTGGAAAAGTCAGAACCATTTCGTGGGGACAAAAGTCTGTCACCAGAATGTTTTTGGTCCCCATAATGTCTGTATTTTCATCACTTTTATTGAACCTGCATTGCATTTGTTACATATCAGTTACTGCTTTTGAAAGGTTGAATATTCATGTACAAGCACGCTTTCAATATTTTGCGTTTTACTCTTTTGAGCCTGTCCAAAATATTTGCTAGGTGTGATTTGTGGCTTTGTACATGTACATGTATTTTACATGGAAGAAATAATTCTGAAAATCACCGGATCTTTCTTTTTGAGAGCAGGACTCGTTCAGCGGTTACGACTTCCACAAGAATGGCAGTGTCTTCAAGTCTGCCTACGGCCAGTACTCTACTGAGCTATTCACTCAACAAGCTGAAGATATCATTGCTGCACATGATAAATCAAAGGCAAGACACTTTGTCACAATTGTTTCTCCACTTTGCGCTCTCTGGTGCTCTTGTTATGAAGCATTCCTCCTCAACACAAAATTTGATATAAGAGCAATTCTCAGTTTGTGACCCTCAGGGAGTTTGCTTTCAAAGAGGCAGTTTTTAAACTTCCCGGAAATCTTGCTCATATTAGCTTGCAGAGAATTCTTTATTCCTCATAATGTAATCTCAGCAGTGTTGTAGGTGGGACCCCTGAAGACCATCACAAGACCTGTAAGACCTCACATGACCACTGTAAGACCTCACATGACCACTGCAAGACCTCACATGACCACTGCAAGACCTAACATGACCACTACAAGACAACCTAACTTCCAATCTGAATTCAAGTCACAAGTTATTCAAATTAACTGTAACAAAAGCATTCCTTCGTCATTTTCACCTTATTATTTGAGACTGTCGTCATGAACTGTCTCTTGTTTCGTGATGGTCTGGAATGCAGCAGTGGATTTCAGTTCCACACTAACACTTGAATCACATTCAGCATTACTCATGCATAAGCAGTTCCAAGTGTAAAAATCCTCTAATCTTTTGAGTTGGCTGAATAAAAGGCATATTGTTTTGTCACGCATATGTCAACATTGTCACTGCATAAAAAATTGGCCTCTCATGTTAATCTTGGTTGAGCACTTCTCTGTGAATTTCTACGAACATGAAATCCTACATCCAACTTTAAAATCCTGTGAACTTCTGATTTGGCTGTGCAGAAGGCGTACCAATTGTCACGCATGTGTCAACAAAGTCCGAGAGTGCACTGAATAAAAATTTGCTTCCATGTGTGTACGTTCTGGTGGTGCAAATTCTGCAAATTCTGATCCAAATTGATTGATATCCCAAACTGATCAATATTACATCCTTTGGTGAATTACATGTAAATTTGATGGAATATTGAACTGCCTTTCAATCCCCAGCCACTATTTTTGTATTTTGCACACCAAGCTGTTCACAGTGGCAATGATGCCCAGCATGCCCTGCAGGCACCAATGCAGTACTACGATCGATTCCCCAACATCACCGACCATAAACGACGGATGTTTGCAGGTGAGGATATGATCTAAGCTTACCTCCATATACTTACCCACTACAGACAGTGCAGCTACTCTTTGAATCTGAAAAAAGAATAGAAATTAAACTCACATTTTTAATTGAAGGGATTGAATCTATGTAACTTGACTGTAGTGTATAACTCAAATGGACTTGGAATGACCCCAAATATTAAGAGATGGCTGGCACTGACGTCTGACTTAAACTAAGGTGACTCGATCGATGTAATGTGACTAGAAGTGAGGATGTCAGTTGACTTGAATTAAAAACTGGCAGCGCTTGGAGGGCAGTAAAAAGGGAAGGTATTTCCAAACAAGAAGTATGCTTAAATGTGTGGTCAAAAGAACTCTATAATTATCTGTCTGCTAAAGTGTCTTTGAAATTTTGTTGTGATCTGGCTATTTTGAACACTTTGGTATTACCTTAAGTGTAATTCAAATTGATTCATTCCCTAGGTAAGTGATTTTTCATGGTTTTTCTCATCATGCCAAACATTTGGGATCCTTTTTTGAGTTTGCCACGTGTAAACTTGGAAGCCTTAACCACCAATGTGTGTGCTGTTATTCCACCAGCCATGACAGCAGTTATGGACGAATCGGTCGGCAATGTCACCCGTGCCTTGAAGCAAGCAGGCCTCTATGACAACTCTGTCATCATCTTCTCGACAGACAACGGTGGCCCTGCTCATGGCTTTGACTTCAATCATGCCAATAATTACCCACTTAGAGGAACCAAGCATTCTCTGTGGGAAGGTGGAGTCCGTGGCACTGGTAAGTATTACTGCTTCACCGTAAACTTCTTTTCTTACAAAACAGGGCACAAGGGTTCACTTTACCTGTGAGTTGCTTAGCAGAAACAGCTTTCCTGATAACTTTCATGTAGTGTCTGTTATTTTCAGTTGATTTTGCCCACTAAGTAAATTTCTAAGCTTTTTTTCCAACAAGTTATGAAGTCGAACTACGGTGGGGTAAATATGAAACCAAGATGAGCGTTTTCCATGATGTTAAAACTAGATGTTGATATATAACATGGATTTTAGAATATTTGTTTGCAAATGCTGGGAGTAATTTGAAAGATTAGGTCTCTGTCTCTAACTTTTTATATATTCAGCCTTTGTGCACAGCAATCTCCTGACGAAACCGGGCCGTATATCACATGACCTGCTCCATGTCAGTGATTGGCTGCCTACAATTTACAACTTGGCTGGTGGAGACAGCAGCAAGTTGAAGAACCTTGATGGCTTTGATATCTGGCCGACACTTTCACGGTGAGTTTCATAATATTTAACTTTTTGGGTTTTTTTCCAAACCTGTGGGAAATAGGTCCTTAGGCATTTTTCAATCAGCATTGTTTCTTGTGAATGATAGTATGGAAGTAAGTTGGGTTCATTTTCTTGTCCTTGCTTGAAGCAAGTTGAATGCAATTTTTTCACCAACATGACTAAGGTGTTTAATACTCAGTTTGATTTGTGCTACATTGAGGCTGATTCCCTCAGATATCTTATGCATCTGTTTTATCTTTATGAGATCACAATGATTAATGTTGGGCTCTCAAGGAAGTAGCTTTCAGTTCTCAAAAGAGCTCACTCTTGAAAATATCTTATAACTAACTTATTTTTTCTTTACAATTTGATATTTATTATGTGTGTTCCCTCAACTGGGGGATTCCTAGATAAGAATTTCAACACACATAATATCTTTTTTCACCACAGAGACAGATGCTTTCTGCTGCAACATACAATGGTTCATTCTTTCCAAAATCTCTGTGATTTTTTTCTATGATTTCAAGGGGTGTGAAATCCCCAAGGTCTGAGGTACTCTTGAACATTGACACAATAAGTGGTGTCTCTGCCCTACGCATTGGAGACATGAAGATCATGTACGGTGACATCGAGCATGGGAAATGGTCAGGGTGGTACAAACCTGAAGGACTACCTCCACGTAAGTAGAGCTGTTTGTCAGTGGTCATAACTTTTGTTCTGATTTCATTTGAAAAATGTTGATCCCATTGTATTGTTTTGATGTATCATTCAGTCTGGCCAAAATGTCTTGTGTTCAGTTAAACTATCGACTTTGTAAAAAATGGGGTTATTGCATATTATGCCTGAACCTCATGTAGATTAATATTTTAATTTCATCCATGAATATTGTCAAGCTTAATTCCTAGTTTGGATTTTTAAAAAAGCTATTAATTTTTTTTCATTTTAATTGCAGTGCAATTGAAATTTGTAGAATTCTGAATTGTCCCCGTAAATTTGTCTTGCTTGACGGTCAGCACAGTTTTGAAAAAAAATTCAACCCAATTCATCTGTCCAGAAGTAAGTTCACTAAAGGCCATGATATCACTGAGAACTGTCAAAAGTTTTCTTTCTTGTTCACAGACTATGTGCCTCCTCCTCCACCTGCTGGAGCATTTGCTGTTCATTGTCCACCCAAACCCAGCAATGCTTCAACTAATTGTGATCCCTTTAAAGCAGCCTGTCTGTACAACATTACCAATGATCCCTGTGAGTTTTACAACCTTGCAGATTGGAATCAAGGTAATTAAGTTGCATCTCTTGGCTGTCTCTCTTCCTGGTTATTTCTTGGCTCACAGTGTTCTTTGACTTCAAATTTTGGCATATTTAAATGAAAGGTGGCTTTCAGGAAATACTTGTAATTGTAGTAGATATAAAGGAGATATTGGTGATTTACAGGAACATAACGCCTCATTCTGATGAGGGCTGTGAATTTTATGACTTTTCAAAAAATTATGTATGAATTGTCCTTAAAGGCTGTTACAAAAAGACTAAGGTTTATTTTTTTTGAAGGGTATGCCTTTGAACATTACCTATTTTCAAATTTGTATGAATTGCAAGAGATTTTGGTCTGTGATCGATACACCGTTCATCATGAATAAGTTGTTGCATTTTTTTTTTCTGAATACATTCCTAGATGTTGTAGCTTCAATGACTCAGCGTCTGAATGAATACAAAACCACTATGGCACCAGCACGTAACAAGCCTAGCGATCCTGATGCCAATCCTGATCTACACGGTGGATACTGGGTTCCATGGGTGAAAAATGACTAGCCTTGCCAACAACTTGGAGGTTTTCTAATTCAGATGATACAGTGGACTTGCAGACTAATTTGGAAATGAAAATACACTAGCCTGATGATGTCACGCTTTGTGAGCTTTGTGTGCTTCCTTTGAAGCGTTGAGTCTGTTGTCCATATCTGGCTCCCATAAGATGGCACACAACAAACTACATAGATTTGATGAGTGCAGACTCTCAGGCATGAATGGGCGTGTTACTCATAGCCAGGACCTCTGAACAAAATAGGTCCATCATAACCTCACTTCAGGAAGTAGAGACCTTGCCAAGTCCACACAATCTTTCTCCTTGTGGAAAAACAGTATTGGAGGAATTTAGAATAATATTTATATTGTGCAGTGACACCATACACATACTCAACTGTGCATTGCAAAACCCATTCCTTGCCGAGACCCAGAGTACAGTACTTGTATCAGGAAAAGCATCCATGAAAAGATCTGATTTTTACAAAGTTTTAAGTACGTCAACAACTTTTACAGTTTACATGTGAAACAATAAGTTATTCCAAAGCTTGGTAGCAGCATAAACAAAGGAACGATCTCCAAGAGTAACCTTAGCTCTACTATAAATATGGTCAAGTGTCAGCCTGTCCCATAAACTGTGCAGATTATGTGACTGGGATTTGGGTTTATCAGCTGAGAGATGTAACTTGGTGCTAACCCATGCCAAGCCTTATATGTGATCAGAAGTAACTTTAATGCAATTTTTTGTTGAATAAGCTACCAAAGTAATTTGACTAACGGGGTAAAAGATTGTAGCAAAATGAAGATTAACATTTATGGGAAATTACATTTAAAACTTCAGTGTGCAAATATCCACTATGCAAGTAAAATAACTGTCATCTTATTGTTTTTTTTTGTAACTACAAGAAAAACCACTTATGTCCAAATGAGGTATAACACACATGTTGACACACGCGATGCCATCGCACCCTACATCATGTGGACTTCTTTCGTGCGGAGGTCCACACTATGTATGCCACCCAGTGCAGCATTTGTTAGTTGACACACGAGTGCAAGTGGAACATAGAATAATGTAGTGCGTCTGTGTCCCGTATACCATGAGGTGAAGGCCCGTGTCCCGTATACGTAGTGCGTCTGTGTACATGCACCATGAGGTGAAGGCCTGTGTCCCGTATGTGTAGTGCGTCTGTGTCCCGTACACCATGAGGCGAAGGCCTGTGTCCCGTATACGTAGTGCGTCTGTGTCCCGTATACCACGAGGTGAAGGCCTGTGTCCCATATACGTAGTGCGTCTGTGTTCCGTACACCATGAGGTTAAGGCCTGTGTCCCGTATACGTAGTGCGTCTGTGTTCCGTATACCGCGAGGTGAAGGCCTGTGTCCCATATACGTAGTGCGTCTGTGTTCCGTACACTATGAGGTTAAGGCCTGTGTCCCGTATACGTAGTGCGTCTGTGTCCCGTAT